AGACCTCATCTTCACTAACAATGATGATCTGATAAGAAATGTCACTATATCAAAAAGAATATACTCAGATCACAACATAATTGAGGTTCAGACATGTATGCGTGGAGCCCCAGACCGACATAATGAGACTAGTCACGAGGGAGCATTCACCAAATTCAACTTCAATAACAAAAACATAAAGTGGGACCAAGTAAACCAAGTCCTAACCGATATAAGCTGGGAAGATATACTAAGCAACACAGGAAAATCACACGAAATCACACGAAAATCACTCACTACGAAAGCAAAAGACTTGGCAGACGATGCAACATCCCCCAAATGAAAAGCAGGGGTGTCACTAGCACGTTAAGAGACCATACAATAAGTGTCAGGGGCCCGAGACTGTTCAACTGCCTCCCAGCATACATAAGGGGGATTACCAACAGACCCCTGGTAGTGTTCAAGCTGGCACTGGACAAGCACCTAAAGTCGGTTCCTGACCTGCCGGGCTGTGGCTCGTACGTTGGTTTGCGTGCAGCCAGCAGCAACAGCCTGGTTGATCAGGCTCTGATCCACCAGGAGGCCTGGTCACAGACCGGGCCGCGGGGGCGTTGACCCCCGGAAATCTCTCCTGGTAAACCCCAGACCCCAACTTATGCCTAGAACAGATTAACTTGGTGGCACTCAATGTATGCACAAAGCTTATTCCTCTAAGAAAAAGGAGGAGTAGATGTAAAATAGAAAGAGACAGGCGCTCCCTTTACAGGCGACGGAAAAGAATAACAGAGCGGCTAAAAGAGGTCAATATATCTGAAATGCGTAGGGAGACACTGGTCAGAGAAATAGCAAGCATCGAACTCAAGCTAAAGGAATCTTATAGGAGTCAGGAATCGCGGGAAGAACTAAAAGCCATAAATGAAATCGAAAGAAACCCAAAGTACTTCTTCTCCTATGCCAAATCAAAATCGAGAACAACGTCCAGTATTGGGACCCTACTTAAACAAGATGGGTCCTGGTAGAATTACAACACCGAAATTCCACCAATCATCTTATGAAATTCAGAGACGCCCAATTAGTGATAAAAGAAAATAATTTCCGCACACGCAAGTGCCTTGAATCAGCACTGATCGCTGTTTCGAATACAATTAAACAAAACAACGGCAGCTTCACCATCTCCGAAGTCTTAGCAAGAATCCTCCTGAAAACAGTAAACCCTGCCATCACATAGTCTCCCCCTTTGTTATACTAAAACAAAGCACAAAAGAATAAAACACTGAAAAAAGCTGCCTATTCCTTTATATTTTGCCCAAACCCTTTTTTTTTATTTTTACCCATTTTTTATGTTACCAAATTGTATTATTTTTTTGTCACTACCACTACTACTACTACTACTACTCCTACCACTAGTGAACATCAAAAGGGGGTACCTCACTAGTATTCCCCTCCCTCTGACCCTTTTAATACCCTTGTGCCCAAAGTATTTTTTTGTAATGGTTTTGATAAAGCTCCTGGAGAGCGAAATTTGGGGGCCCACAATATAGTCACATTTTTTTGCCCCTTGTTTTTCCTTTTTAAACTTTACAAATGGGCCCTACCCGATGAAAAGAAAGGGAAAATTGAGGGGAGCTACTCAAGTCCCAATATAACCAGTTTTTAGCAAGCCGCAAACCCAGCCCTGAGAGTCGAAGATCAAAAATTGAATTTTTTATGAGGACCCAAAAAATTTTGGGTTTTTAAAAACAACCCTACCCCCGATGTTATCCGACGCCAAGTGCTTCGAACGGCAAAAATAAACATCCCAGGACTCTCCCCCGGGGCCGGGACTAGGGAAACTCTGTTTTCTTTAAAAGAACTGCAAGAAGCCCCTATCACGACCCTTTTTTCCATCCTATGGAGAGGGAGCATGGACACGGGGGCCCGTCCCACAGGTTTAAATTTAAAAAAACAGACATAGCCCCACCCACAAAAAGGGGAGTAAAGCAACAGCAAAGAACTTCAACCGGGTAAACACCCAAACCCCAATCCCCCCCCCCCTATCATAAAAATCTTTGAAAAATCCTAAAAGCAAGATCACCAAAAACTAGAAACCCATCAGTTACAACCCAGGCAATATGGGTTTAAAAACCCGGGCGCTTGGTCCGGGCTCCCCCCTATTGGATCACACGCCCGGGCCTTTAATGCACTAGAAGAAAAAGAAGCAGAGTAATATATACAGGGCTTTTGGGAAAAGCCTTTGACAAGTGGGGACCAAAAGGCGTAATAGCGCACAAAAAAACTGCTAAAGGAAAAACAGGAAAAGTCGGTCGATGGATCCCCAAAAATTTCCTCACTAACAAACACAGAAAGGGAGTCGTCAACAAGTAAAATCCGAAAAGGGAGCACGGTGAAAAAACTCTGTTTTCCCCAAGGCACAGTATCCTCCCATCTTTTTTCCTCAACCCCCATATCCACATGGGCAAGGATGCAAACCCCCAGCACCCTGTCTTCCTTTTTTCAGATGACCCCGGAAAACTGCATGACAGTGTTTCCATTGCAGACACTGCAAGGTCCAAAGGGAGACATCAAATGAAACTTTCAGGGGGGCTGCAAAAAAAAATATGAAGTTCAACGATGAAAAATTTCAATTACTCAGATATAGTAAACACGAGGAAATTAAATCTTCATCAGAGTACAAAACAAATTCTGGCCACAAAATAGAGCGAAACACCAACGTCAAAGACCTGGGAGTGATCATGTCGGAGGATCTCACCTTCAAGGACCATAACATTGTATCAATCGCATCTGCTAGAAAAATGACAGGATGGATAATGAGAACCTTCAAAACTAGGGAGGCCAAGCCCATGATGACACTCTTCAGGTCACTTGTTCTATCTAGGCTGGAATATTGCTGCACACTAACAGCACCTTTCAAGGCAGGTGAAATTGCTGACCTAGAAAATGTACAGAGAACCTTCACAGCGCGCATAACGGAGATAAAACACCTCAATTACTGGGAGCACTTGAGGTTCCTAAACCTGTATTCCCTGGAACGCAGGCGGGAGAGATACATGATTATATACACCTGGAAAATCCTAGAGGGACTAGTACCGAACTTGCACACGAAAATCACTCACTACGAAAGCAAAAGACTTGGCAGACGATGCAACATCCCCCCAATGAAAAGCAGGGGTGTCACTAGCACGTTAAGAGACCATACAATAAGTGTCAGGGGCCCGAGACTGTTCAACTGCCTCCCAGCATGCATAAGGGTGATTACCAACAGACCCCTGGCAGTCTTCAAGCTGGCACTGGACAAGCACCTAAAGTCGGTTCCTGACCAGCCGGGCTGTGGCTCGTACGTTGGTTTGCGTGCAGCCAGCAGCAACAGCCTGGTTGATCAGGCTCTGATCCACCAGGAGGCCTGGTCGCAGACCGGGCCGCGGGGGCGTTGACCCCCGGAACTCTCTCCAGGTAAACTCCAGATAAACACACACTCCCAAACTCGTCCACTAACCTTTGCAATTTTTCTTTAGAATCTCCCATAAGCACAGTATCATCAGCAAAAAGCATCTGTGTCAATTCCCATTTTGTATTTGATTCCCCATAATTTAATTCCACCCCTCTCCCGAACACCCTAGCATTTACTTCTTTTACAACCCCATCTATAAATATATTAAACAACCATGGTGACATTACACATCCCTGTCTAAGACCTACTTTTACCGGGAACTAGTCTCCCTCTCTTCTACACACCCTAACCTGAGCCTCACTATCCTCATAAAAACTCTTTACAGCATTTAGTAACTTACCACATTGCTTCCCTCTCCACTCTATCATATGCCTTTCCTAAATCCATAAATGCAATAAAAACTTCCCTACCTTTATCTAAATACTGTTCACATATATACTTCAATGTAAACACTTGATCTACACAACCCCTACCCACTCTAAAACCTCCTTGCTCATCCGCAATCCTACATTCTGTCTTACCTCTAATTCTTTCAATTATAACCCTATCGTACACTTTTCCTGGTATACTCAGTAAACTTATTCCTCTATAATTTTTACAATCTTTTTTGTCCCCCTTCCCTTTATATAAAGGGACGATACACACACACACACACACACACACACATATATATATATATATATATATATATATATATATATATATATATATATATATATATATATATATATATATATATATATATATGCAAAGAATTCGCAAGAGCGGGGTGTTGGTCCGATGTGGGTGGATTGGTGGGGCGCTGCGTGCCTTGTTCCGGGGTTCGTGGGTTCGGGTCTCCTTCGGCCGGAGATCGGTGTTTGTGTGTGTTTCGCCTGCTCTTGCGAGTTCCTTGCGTTGTTGGGGTCTCTAGTGGGGCTGGTGCATGCAGGGGGTTGGGTGGGGGGCTGTGGGCCTTCTCCCTGGGGGCTGGCTGCCTTGGATCGGGGTCTGGCGCGGACTGGACTCCGGGGTGTTGGTCCGGTGTGGGTGGATTGGTGGGGCGCTGCGTGCCTTGTTCCGGGGTTCGTGGGTTTGGGTCTCCTTCGGCCGGAGATCGGTGTTTGTGTGTGTTTCGCCTGCTCTTGCGAATTCCTTGCATTGTTAAAATCTCTAGTAAGGCTGATGTATGCAGGGGATGAGATGAAAAGCTGTAAGCCTTCTCCCTGAAAGCTGGCTGCCTTGGATCAAAGTCTAGCGCAAGCTGGACTCCAAGGTATTGGTCCAGTGTGGGTAGATTGGTAAAGCACTGCGTACCTTGTTCCAAGGTTCGTAGGTTCGAGTCTCCTTCAGCCAGAGATCAGTGTATATATATATATATATATATATATATATATATATATATATATATATATATATATATATATATATATATATATATATATATATACGATGAGCAGAGTATTGAAGAAAGGACACCATGAGCATAGTTTTGTTCCTGTAGCTACAAATTGCAAATAGGTTATTACATATGTGTATAAACTTTTGAAGGAAAATATTTTGCTATTCATATATTTCATGTGTTTACGTACAGCCTGTGAAGTCACTGCTAGTGCCCTGGGAGACGTGGGGTCCAGCACTACAGCAACACAGAGCTCTCTACACTCCTAGTATTCTCAGAGCCAAGAGCAAGGCCCCTTACCTTATTATTCACGTAAGTCTTTGCACTGTGAGCACACTATTTAACCACCATACCATCACTGTGAGTCGGAATAGTAACAGTGCAAGGAAACATTATCATCCTCCTTAAGTCTTGCAAGATAAAGTAAATAATCTAAAAAAAATCACTACTGCAGTAATGAGAGGCACTGGGTATATACAGTTTTGTTTTCCTACACATCACTTCATAATTGAATGATGCCTTATTTAGTATTACATGTTATTTCATGTTTAGATCAGGCAGTTGCTATGAATATATGATAACCTGTTTTGTTTATATTATGGGTGCGTGCAGATGGAGACAGACAGTGCAGATGAAGTAAACGAGAAAGGCTGGCTTCCCTATGGCTACTTCATGATCCCACAGAAGTCTCCTACCAAATACGTGATAACAGCCAACTCACCAGTGGACACATCCACCAAGGAGAAGATCGCTAAGTATCTCAAGGTAATACATACAGTCTGTTCATCCACTCAGCCGTACATGAATATATTTGCATGAACCTAACATGACACAAATCTTAGTGTCCTTGGTACTGAGTGTACGACTGGTAAACATCAGGCCACAGGTTCGATACCCTTAATTTCCTCATAGTTGGTTTAATATCTTTATTATGTATTCCATTCCCATCTTTTGGGTGGTAGTCAAAAGATTAGAGAGGCACATCGTGGGTCCAGATTCTAGGCCGCAAAGTTTTGATAGCTAAACAAATTACAATGATAATGAACTGTTTACTTGTTTATATCCGGTTACAGTCGCACTGAATTATTTATGCAGACATAAATTAGGTCGCTGTGGAGCCCGGGATGACATCTGTACCTCTGTTAGTTTAATATCCTTATTATACACCCTATACCCAGCCTGATGGTGATACTCAGAAGATTACAGAGTCACATAATGGGTCTAAAATGTGAACCTGAGCGAGTTTATTCCAACGTTACTAACATACTTTATTCTGTTCACAAACACCGTTAAACCTACTGGGTTCAACCAGTTCATCTATGTAAAGCCTGACCTGTATAGCTTTTATTTCTTGATATAATGAATTTGAGTTATTGTCTTTTTTCCGCTGATAAAACCTGATTACCTCCACCACACCCTAGCCTAGGCACTGTGTGACCCTTACTAGGAATGTAATAATAGTAATTAATATCTGAAATAAACCAAATAATTAAACAAATTCAGAAATGCCCACTTCTCGAAAATACTCATGTGTGTTTCTACTTGCAGTCACAGTTCGGCTCTATGGGGGATGAAGAAAGTGTGAGTAGCAGCAATAATGACCTGGACAGCCACAGCATCACAGAGGACAATTTTAGGAGCAACATGGGTCGTATTAGGCGCTATGGAGTCACCAAGTTGGCCTGGGCAGACCTACATCATGCAGAACCAATGTCCGGGTCTTCTCTGGCGTCTGGTGTGCTTCTCCGACCAAATAACCTGTTGTTAATGGAGATAGACCCACAGGAGCCCAGCGGACACTCCTGTGATAACCCTGCCTACGAAGTTTGAGCGAACATTCCTGTGATAACCTTCGTATGATTCTGGGCAGTGACAACGTGGAACACTCGTGTATCAGTCTGGAGAGTGACAACGTGGAACACACATTGATGACTGAGATATTAAGGTGCTCTGTTACCATCGGAAAATTATGTAAAAGCTGTGAGCTTGGACCCAATTTCTCCAGGACGGTACTTTAATATTTGTGACGAGCTCTTGGTCCACGACACTGAATCTGTCCTCTTCCTGGGATCAGACTCGATTTTCTCCCAATACTATTTATTATTATTAATCCAATTTTGTGACTCTAGAGAAACTAAAGCACTTGGTCTACCTAAACCTGACTAAGTACTTTAAATTCGTATGCCCATAAGTTTAACATATCCACTTAAAGAGTTAATATACTATACCTATTTTTTGACTTCTCACGTTTTACTTACACATACAGAGTGCCTGGAGTTTACCTGGAGAGAGTTCCGGGGGTCAACGCCCCCGCGGCCCGGTCTGTGACCAGGCCTCCTGGTGGATCAGAGCCTGATCAACCAGGCTGTTGCTGCTGGCTGCACGCAAACCAACGTACGAGCCACAGCCCGGCTGGTCAGGAACCGACTTTAGGTGCAACGGACAAATGAACTAGCAGCAGCAACACTCACAGCAAGAGGCATTCTTGAGCTTCCCCAGCGCTCAGACGTGATGTCTAAAGCTGGGGGTGACTCCAAAAGGATCCTGTAGTGTTTGCTGCCTTTGCACCTCCTGACATCGTCTGTTGCTATGCAGCTGCCATACCTTTCGAGCCCAGTGTGGGCGGTGTTTGTGGCAGCACAAGATGCCTAGCTTCTCCCTCCGAGCCCCGTGGGGGCGGGGATGGGGGCTAGGCCTGGGGACAGCTAGTCCCAGAAGACGAGGAGGTACTTGTACCTCCACCCATGTCAGACATTAGTCTGAGACACTCCCACGAAAGGGAGCCAAGGCCGGGCCACCACTTGGAGAAGGCCCGGGCCGGGCGATTATACCGGCGAATCTACAACAACGTTTTACGTGGTCCTATCTTAAAATATTATTTAATATAAATTATATATCTATACTGTTAACACAAATAAATACTGCTGCTAAAATATAATGTTTAGAAAACTAATTACCAAGAACATTCTATATTCTGCAAGCATCGCTTGAGTGAATGCATTTTTTAATATAATGTATTTTTTATATAAAAATATTGATATTTATTATTTGTTTCTTTTCCCATGTAAGAGACAGATATATAATTGCGTGATAATTCTACATATTCTTGGACGATCAAATTAAATTTTAAAGGAGCCTGGTGGCTAAAGCTCCCGCTTCACACACGGAGGGCCCGGGTTCGATTCCCGGCGGGTGGAAACATTTCGACACGTTTCCTTACACCTGTTGTCCTGTTCACCTAGCAGCAAATAGGTACCTGGGTGTTAGTCGACTGGTGTGGGTCGCATCCTGGGGAACAAGATTAAGGACCCCAATGGAAATAAGTTAGACAGTCCTCGATGACGCACTGACATTCTTGGGTTATCCTGGGTGGCTAACCCCCCGGGGTTAAAAATCCGAACGAAATCTTATCTTATCTTGACGGGTAAGCCAGTGGGAGGCCTCGGTCAGGTAACCAAAGGCTCCAGCAGTGGCGGGTCATCACATGACTACGACGAATCTTACCTAACCTATACATTCTTGCTCTCCTTGTGGCTTAGCGCATCTTTTTGATTATAATAATAATATACATTCTTGTACTAATAGATGTTTCTCTTTTGACTACCGCCCACAGGATGGGTATGGGGTGCATAATAAACATATTAAACTAAAACTAGATGTTTACCTGGAGTTTACCTGGAGAGAGTTTCGGGGGTCAACGCCCCCGCGGCCCGGTCTGTGACCAGGCCTCCTGGTGGATCAGCCCCTGATCAACCAGGCTGTTGCTGCTGGCTGCACGCAAACCAACGTACGAGCCACAGCCCGGCTGATCCGGAACTGACTTTAGGTGCTTGTCCAGTGCCTGCTTGAAGACTGCCAGGGGTCTGTTGGTAATCCCCCTTATGTGTGCTGGGAGGCAGTTGAACAGTCTCGGGCCCCTGACACTTATTGTATGGTCTCTTAACGTGCTAGTGACACCCCTGCTTTTCATTGGGGGATGGTGCATCGTCTGCCAAGTCTTTTGCTTTCGTAGTGAGTGATTTTCGTGTGCAAGTTCGGTACTAGTCCCTCTAGGATTTTCCAGGTGTATATAATCATGTATCTCTCCCTCCTGCGTTCCAGGGAATACAGGTTTAGAAACCTCAAGCGCTCCCAGTAATTGAGGTGTTTTATCTCCGTTATGCGCGCCGTGAAGGTTCTCTGTACATTTTCTAGGTCGGCAATTTCACCTGCCTTGAAAGGTGCTGTTAGAGTGCAGCAATATTCCAGCCTAGATAGAACAAGTGACCTGAAGAGTGTCATCATGGGCTTGGCCTCCCTAGTTTTGAAGGTTATCATTATCCATCCTGTCATTTTTTAAGCACATCGACTCCAGGTTGAGGGACTGATTACCTCATTCTCCTCCTCTCCTTACGCCTTCCTCTTTGTATTGGACTGATGAAGCCACTGTGTGGCGAAACGTTTCCTGAATAAAGATTCCCATATGCTGCATAAGTGTCTCAATCTTCAACTTGTCGGTTTTTCAAACCATTCATCACAACTGTCAGACACGGCAGCATCATGGGGTCTTGTTACAAAGAATTCTTCAACACTTGTTCAACCTTTGGACGAAGACCTACTTCGACTAGTGGATGGTACCACTATGACCCCGCCTCCATCTGCTTCACGTCACCTCACTACAGTATATAAGCCACGTCTACGGCCCTATGCTGTACATTCTACAAGATTGATGGACTGAACACATCGACTCCAGGTTGAGGGACTGATTACCTCATTCTCCTCCTCTCCTTACGCCTTCCTCTTTGTATTGGACTGATGAAGCCACTGTGTGGCGAAACGTTTCCTGAATAAAGATTCCCATATGCTGCATAAGTGTCTCAATCTTCAACTTGTCGGTTTTTCAAACCATTCATCACAACTGTCAGACACGGCAGCATCATGGGGTCTTGTTACAAAGAATTCTTCAACACTTGTTCAACCTTTGGACGAAGACCTACTTCGACTAGTGGATGGTACCACTATGACCCCGCCTCCATCTGCTTCACGTCACCCCACTACAGTATATAAGCCACGTCTACGGCCCTATGCTGTACATTCTACAAGATTGATGGACTGAACACATCGACTCCAGGTTGAGGGACTGATTACCTCATTCTCCTCCTCTCCTTACGCCTTTCCTCTTTGTATTGGACTGATGAAGCCACTGTGTGGCGAAACGTTTCCTGAATAAAGATTCCCATATGCTGCATAAGTGTCTCAATCTTCAACTTGTCGGTTTTTTCAAACCATTCATCACAACTGTCAGACACGGCAGCATCATGGGGTCTTGTTACAAAGAATTCTTCAACACTTGTTCAACCTTTGGACGAAGACCTACTTCGACTAGTGGATGGTACCACTATGACCCCGCCTCCATCTGCTTCACGTCACCTCACTACAGTATATAAGCCACGTCTACGGCCCTATGCTGTACATTCTACAAGATTGATGGACTGAACACATCGACTCCAGGTTGAGGGACTGATTACCTCATTCTCCTCCTCTCCTTACGCCTTCCTCTTTGTATTGGACTGATGAAGCCACTGTGTGGCGAAACGTTTCCTGAATAAAGATTCCCATATGCTGCATAAGTGTCTCAATCTTCAGTTTAATTGTAACTGATTCTCTGTCATCCATAAATGCTCTCAACTCATTAAGCATAAATTGTTGCATGCTTGTGTCAGAAGTCAGACACAGGTATGGTAGGATTGTGGACCGTGGAGTCAGAGTGCACATGCTGTGGATTCCATCTCACATTGGTCTTCAAATGCATGATAGAACTGATAAATTGGCTAAGCTGTATGCTTTCAAAGAGGGAGTAGATTACAATCTTGGCTTGTCAGGTAGTAGTTTGAGAACAATAATACGAAAAGAACTTCAACTGAATTTTATGGACTTAAGGCTCAGGGAGATTGACACCAGTGAGTCCATCTATCATCATTCTATCATGCAGGAGGAGCCACATGTCTATGGTGCATCCAACAAAATAAGCAGACTCTTGGATGTCACTACTGCCCGGCTCCGGCTGGGTTACAAGTATCTTTGGCAGGTTAAATCACCACCACCAGATGTAGACCAAACGAAATGTAAACTTTGCCAGATGGACTATTGTCACACCCTGCGTCATTATGTACTGGATTGTGATAAAATTAATGAATTTAGAAACAACTCGCTCATAAATGTTCAAGAAATGGCAAAGTACTTTATCCACAGTGGTATATTGCAGACCATTCTGGAGAAATACCCTGACTTTGCTAGCTGTAAATAAAGCATTACCACATGTGTGCATGTGTGTGTGTGTGTGTGTGTGTGTGTGTGTGTGTGTGTGTGTGTGTGTGTGTGTGTGTGTGTGTGTGTGTGTGTGTGTGTGTGTGTGTGTGTGTGTATGTGTGTGTGTGTGTGTGTGTGTGTGTGTGTGTGTGAGTGTGTGTATGTGTGTGCACTCACCTAGTTGAGATTGCAGGGGTCGAGTCCAAACTCCTGTGTACTCACCTATTTGTACTCACCTATTTGTGGTTGCAGGGGTCGATTCACAGCTCCTGGCCCCGCCTCTTCGCTGATTGCTACTAGGTCCTCTCTCTCCCTGCTCCATGAGCTCTATCATACCTCGCCTTAAAACTATAGACTGTTCCCGTGTGTGTGTGTGTGTGTGTGTGTGTGTGTGTGTGTGTGTGTGTGTGTGTGTGTGTGTGTGTGTTTGTGTGTGTGTTTGTGTGTGCGTGTGTATGTGTATGAGTGTATATGAGTGTGTGTGTGTGTATGAGTGTGTGTGTGTATGAGTGTGTGTGTGTGTGTGTATGAGTGTGTGTGCGTGTGTATGAGTTTGTGTATGTGTGTGTGTGTGTGTGTGTGTGTGTGTGTGTGTGTGTGTGTGTGTGTGTGTGTGTGTGTGTGTGTGTGTGTGTGTGTGTGTGTGTGTGTGTGTGTTTATGTGTGTGTGTGTGTGTGTGTGTGTGTATGAATTTGTATGTGTGTGTGTGTGTGTGTGTGTCTCAACAATCAATATTTGCACCAATAACTCACTACAGTTGTGACCGGGTGTGGAAGTGTGAATTGCTCATTACACTATAATTTGTTCATGATTGTAGCCATGTATAAACGTAAGTAACCATTCTTACAGGATTCATTACCTTTGTAACTTGTGAGTTCATTACCTTGTACCTAGTTCAGCCATCACAACTTTGGGAGCCCAGTCCCTGGACCCATTACGTACCTCTGTAATTTGTAAATACCATTGTAACTTGTCATGATTGTGACTAGACCTACCTGGAGTTCATTACCTTTGTAAATTGTGAGTTCATTACCTGGAGTTTACCTGGAGAGAGTTTCGGGGGTCAACGCCCCCGCGGCCCGGTCTGTGACCAGGCCTCCTGGTGGATCAGCGCCTGATCAACCAGGCTGTTGCTGCTGGCTGCACGCAAACCAACGTACGAGCCACAGCCCGGCTGATCAGGAACTGTCTTTAGGTGCTTGTCCAGTGCCAGCTTGAAGACTGCCAGGGTGTTGTTGTAATCCCTTATGTGTGCTGGGAGGCAGTTGAACAGTCTCGGGCCCCTGACACTTATTGTATGGTCTCTTAACGTGCTAGTGACACCCCTGCTTTTCATTGGGGGGATGGTGCATCGTCTGCCAAGGTCTTTTGCTTTCGTAGTGAGTGATTTTCGGTGTCAAGTTTGGTACTAGTCCCTCTAGGATTTTCCAGGTGTATATAATCATGTATCTCTCCCTCCTGCGTTCCAGGGAATACAGGTTTAGAAACCTCAAGCGCTCCCAGTAATTGAGGTGTTTTATCTCCGTTATGCGCGCCGTGAAAGTTCTCTGTACATTTTTCTAGGTCGGCAATTTCACCTGCCTTGAAAGGTGCTGTTAGAGTGCAGCAATATTCCAGCCTAGATAGAACAAGTGACCTGAAGAGTGTCATCATGGGCTTGGCCTCCCTAGTTTTGAAGGTTCTCATTATCCATCCTGTCATTTTTCTAGCAGATGCGATTGATACAAAGTTATGGTCCTTGAAGGTGAGATCCTC